ATCATCTGACACTAGTATGTACCTCCTTCCTGTAGTAAGGGTCCTACTCCTTCCTGAGCACCTTATTATCATGCCTGTGGAAACTCTTTGCATCCCTTGCTAGCTGCAATTCCACTTGTGCTTTGGCCTTCCTGATTACACCTCTGTATGCTTGAGCAATGTATTTATACTCCTTCCTAGTCATCTGTCCAAGTTTCCACTTCTTGTGAGCTTCCTTTTTGTGTTTAAGCTCAGTAAGAATTTCACTGCTAAGCCAAGCTGGTTGCCTACCACATTTGCCTTTCTTACTGCGCATTGGGATGGTTTGTTCCTGTGACTTCGATAAAGCTTCCTTAAAATACAGCCAGCTCTCTGGGACTCCTTTCCCCGTCATGTTAGCATCCCCAGGGATCCTGCCCATCAGTTCCCTGAGGGAATCAGACTGGTTTTCTGCAGTCCAGGGTCTGTATTTTGCTGCTTTCCTTTGGTCAGGATCCTGAAATCAACCATCTCACAACTGCTTCCCAGGTTGCCACCCACATCTGGCTCCCCTACTAGTTAGCTCCCTGTTTGTGAGCAGCAGGTCAAGCTGAGCATGGTTCCTGGTTGTTTCCTTTAGCACTTGTACCAGGAAGTTATCCCCAACGTTCTCCAAAAACTTCCTGGATTGTCAGTGTCCTGCTGTATTGGTCTGCCAACGGATGTCAGAGTGATATCCATGAGAACCAGGGCCTGTAATCTGGATGCTTCTGTTAGTTGTCTGAAGAATGCCTCCTCTACCTGATCTGGTGGACTATGGCAGACACCAACCCCAATGTCACTCTTGTTGCTTCTGCCACACCTGCTTTATACTGGAGCTCTGAGCAATCCTACTGCTCTTACATATGATGCAACTCCTCCACGTTTTCTCCTTTGCCTGTTCTGAAGAGTTTATGCCCTTCCATGACTGCTCCAATCATGGGAGTTGTCACACCAAGTCTGTTATTTCAATCAAATCCTAGATCTTTGATTGTGCCAGGACTTACTTCTAATTCTTCCTCTTCATTTTCCAGGCTTCTTCCGTTTGTGTACAGACACCGTAGATAACTCGGGGTATGTCTACACTACAGCGCTAACTCGACCTAACTTAGTTCGAACTAACAGATCCAGACTAAAAAACTAGTTCGAATTAGCGTTTTGCTAATTCCAACTAGCATGTCCACATTAAGTGGACCCTGAACCGGGGTTAAGGATGGCCGGAAGCAGTGCCGGTAGGGCATCAGATGAGGACTTAGAGCGTGGAGCTGCTGCCTCAGGCTAGCCGAGGGCTGTGCTTAAAGGGACCCGATCCCCACTCCGGACAGACAGTTCTCAGGGGTGCCCCGCTTGCAAAGCAGTCCTGGCTTGGAGTGCCCTGAGTGCTCACACTGGGCACATCACAGCACTCGGCCATCAGACCGGCTGCACTTGCCGCAGGCTGCCATCTGGGGAGAGGGGGCAATTGGGGGGCTGCAGGAGAGCTTCCACCCCCAGAAGCCCGCAGAACCAGCCCAGTCCTCCCCATCGGGGGCTCGTACCCCATTCCTCCCTCACCTCCTTCCACTTACCCTTCCCTAGCCCCCCTTCCTGATGTACAAAATAAAGAAAACGTGTGGTCAAAAATAGAATCTCTCTTTATTGAACAAAACTAGGGAGACTGGGAGAGGAGGTGAGAGAGAGGGGAAGAGAGAGGGTGGGAGAGGGGAGGGCAACTACAATGATCAGAGGTTTGGAA